CTCCTCAGGCGCAGTCAATGCGTTCGTCGGGATAAACCTGGTGCCTTAAATCAGATAGCAATTATGTTATCTTGATGGACCACTAGGGGGCAGTAATGGACAAAGAACAGGCACAACGGCTGTGAGAAAAGCTCGTTTTTAAAAGAATTTGCTGCTAAGCCTGAGTTGGATCCTTTACCCATTTTTGGGAGGCTGAGGCATGGGGACAGTCCATCCTGGGCTACACAATAACTTTCAGGACCACCTGGGCTTCAGAGTTAGACCCTGTCTTAAAAAACAGAACAGCATTCGGGGTGGTGGTGGTACACACCTTTAATTCCAGCAGTCAGGAGGCAGAGGCAGGTGGATCTCTGTGAGTTTGAGGCCAGCCTGGTCTACAGAGCGAGTTCTAGGACAGCCAAGGCTACACAGAGAAACCTTGTGTGGAAAAACCAGAGAGAGAGAGAGAGAAGCTGACCTATAAAAATCATAAACATTTTAAGTTTTTATTTTATTGGTGTTGGAATTATTATTTGAGACAGTGTTTCACTATGTAGCCCCTTCTGGCCTGGAACTCCCTATGTAGATCAGGCTAGCCTTGATATTGCAGCAATATTCCTAGTATGAGTATCGAGGGTGCCAAAACTACAGAATGCTGGGACTCAAAGAAGCCTGCACTCAAGAGGGAGTGTCAGAGAACCCTGTCCTGAACGGGCATTGAGGAAACTCCAAAGGAGACAGAGAACCAGCGGTGTGGATAGCCAGGTGCCACACAGAGATCTAGGAACAGAGCCTTTGGGAAGAGAAAGCCAAAAGGCCCCAACATAGACTATACACACCTGCAAGAAATGGCAGAGGCCAGTGTCACAGGACACCAGAGCATCCCAAGGACAGAACTAATAGGGTTTGCTGGCACACTGGCTGTGGGCTGCAAGAAGGTGAGGTTCAAGGGGCTAGAAGGATGGCTCAGTGGTTAAGATCATTCGCTGCTCTGGCAGAGGACCTGGGTTTGATTCCCACCATTGACACGGCAGCTCAAGTGCTTGTAACTGCAATGTCCTCTTCTGGCCTCTGCAGGCAGCAGGCTGGCATGTGGTGCATGCAGGCAAATGCTCATACACGTAAATCTGAGAAAGACAAAGGGACAGACTGGTCTCTTTTACGCATGAGCAACCAGAAGGGACAAGTTGCTGTTTCCAGAAACCCTAGAGATCAGAGGAACCAGGTCTGAAGGGATCTGGTGTGTGGCTCTGGGCATGGTAGTCTGAGATGCTTCTGAGGCACCAGCTGTGGGAATCTAAGTCAGGGCTTTGGGAGCCTGGGTGAGAGGCGTCAATCCTAGCCTTGCCTCAGCTCTGTAACCAGAGCTCTGTCCAGGACGGTCTGTGTCCCTCCTTCATCACCTCAGGTGCTGGGCTGTGGCTGAAGCCTGATGCAGCCCCTCTCCCAGCCACCATACACCACCCATGTGGAATCTCAGTAGGAGCCCCGTCTCACGGACAACACCCACACATCTCCCTGCTGGTCGTGGCCGGGGGCCAGGAGTTTTGGGCCATGTATTCACATACTTCGGGAACAAAACTGGAAATCCCCAAACTTGGTTACCCATGAACTCAGCCTTGAATAAGGGCCAGGCAGGGCTCATAAGAGAAGGCAAATGGGTTTTATCTCCTGTGCCAGCAATGATTAACCAGGTCCGATTCTGGATTTCAGTTGTCTAAAGAAGAGACAAGGGTGGGCTAGCGGGATGGCACGGTAGGCAAAGTACTTGTAGAGCAAGCCTGGGGCCGTGAGTTCAACTCCACCGACCCATGTAAACACACACACACACACACACACACTGCGGTGGTTTGAACAGAAATGCCCCCATAGGCTGGGCATTGGTGGTGCTCGCCTTTAATCCCAGCAAAGGCAGGCAGAGGTCTGTGAGTTAGAGGCTGGCCTGGTCTACAGAGTGAGCTCCAGGACATCTAAGGCTACGAAGACAAACTCTGTCTTGGGCAGGGTGGGGAGTCCCCATAGGCTCATAGTTTTGAATGCTTGGTCATTAGGGAGTGGCGCTATTTGACGGGGATTAGGAGGTGTGGCCTTGTTGGAGGAAGTGTGTTGAAGGGGATGTGGCGGTGAAACAGGCGAAGCGTCTCTTACTCCCTTTCCCTGCTGCCTGCCAATCCGAATGTAGTTCTCCCAACCACCTCTCCCGCACCGAGTCTGCCTCTATGCCCCATGCTTCCCACCAGGAGGATAAGGACTAAACCTCTGAAAGTGTAAGCCAGCCCCAATTAGATGCTTTCTTTTATGAAAGTTGCTGTGGTCATGGTGTCTCTTCACAGCAATAGAACACTTGACTAAGACACCCCCCAAACAAAATAAAAAATAAATCTTGAGAAACAAATAAGACAGGGGCAGCACGTGAATTGATTAGTAATGTCTGCCAGGAGAACGCCATCACGGAGTGTCTGCTACTGTACCAGATCTTTGTTTTTCGTATTTACCTGTACGTACTGTGGACCTTTGCTTCAAAGAGCCTCTCGAGGTACAGTGCGCCGTGGGCTTGTCAAACCACATTCAAATCACAGCAGCACAGATAAAACATTCCTCAATTTCCTCCTAGGCTGGGGGCTGGGAGGGAAATTAGTTCTACTCTGCTTCTCAGAAAGCCATCCATTTTCTGATGGGGACTAAGCTCAGTCTGCAGAGACCTTGCTTGGCACACATGATATCCTAGGCACATCTGTAATCCCAGCCTTTGAGAGGCAGAAGCAATCAGATCAGAAGTTCAAGGTCATCCTCAGCTACAGGGAGAGTCCAAGCCAGCCTGGACTATTTGATACTCTGTAAATAAAAGAAAACCAACGAACAGACCAACAAAAGAGAAAACAAACAGACAAATCACTAAAAGCAAGCAAGCATCAGCCGTCTTTTTTTTTTTTTTTTTTTTTTTTTTTTTTTTTTTGAGACAGGGTTTCTCTGTGTAGCCTTGGCTGGGCTCAGCTTTGTAGATTAGATTAGGCTGGCCTCGAACGCACAGAGACCCACCTGCCTCTGCCTCCCTGAGAGCTGGGATTAAAGGCGTGCACCTTTAATTAAAGGAGTTCACTGGCTGCATCAGTCTGTTTAAGCTGGACTTTAGTCCACTTGTTGAATAGAAATGGCCTGAGTGGGAAAGATCCTGCTTCTCTTTGTATCTCCATCAAGAGGCTGAGTCCTGCCCAGACAGGTTAAATCACTGTCACCAGGGCCTGAGCATTTATTTGTTTCAAGGAACGAGTGAGGTTGAATTACCTCCCCCTCCCCCCGTTTTTCAGCATACTTTTGTTTTGTTGTTGTAATTTGCTTGCTTTCTCGTGCATGGGCGTTTTGCTTGCTTGAATGTCTGCACCATAAGCAGCAGTGCTGAGGATGCCAGAAGAAAGCCCCCAAGCCTCTGGAACTGGATTTACAGGTGGTTATTAGGTGCCAGGCTGGGAACCGAACCTGGATCCTCTGCAAACACTACAAGTGCTCTTAGCCGTTGAGCCATCTCTTCAGCAACCCCGTCCTCTGGTTTTTGTTTGTTTGTTTGTTTGTTTGTTTGTTTGGGACAGTCTCATATTGCTGAGGCTAGCCTTGAGCTCTTGATCCTCTCTCTTCACTTTCTGGGTACTGAGATTAGACATGAGCCACCATGCTCAGCAGCATGGAGTTCTTTCACCTTAAAACACTTTTATTACATTTTTATTTATTTTTACGTATGCATGCGTGCATGTGTGAGAAGCCGTTACTGCATCATAGCCATTTTACAGATGAAAATCATTAAGTTCAAGACGGACAAGGAAGTTGAAAGGAAACAATTTCTCATTAGCAAGCTAGCTCGTCTTCCAGGTTGGCTCACAGCTTGCTGCTGTAACTCCCTGGGTGAGTCTCCAGATCTCTGCAAGGGAGTCCCCTGGTCTTCCTCCATAAGGGCTTCCTTCCAGCTCCCCCCCCTCCCCCCGCAACCTGCCTAGCCTACCCCACTCTGCAGCCCTCAGCCTTCCCCAGAGATTGTCCCATGGCCATCTTATCTAGGCACAGGATATGCTGCCCTCTGAGTGACCACGTGCTTGATGCCTTTGGCTCTGCCAGGCCTGGCTGGCACAGAGTAGCTCTCCGTGAATGCTGGATCTGTTGGGAGCTGGGTGCATTAAGGAGCCAGGCCAAGAGCAAAGAACAAACCCGCTGGCAGGCTCAGCTGTCAGCATGCACTTCAGGGCCAACACGCTTGCGTCTCCTCTGGCCAGGACCTTGTGACCATTGTGCCAGAACCCCCAGTCCTTTGGCCCTGGCTCTCCTGTCTCCTCTCAAAGTCAGCCAGTGGAAGTGGGGGGTGGAATTCACCCCAGAAGGTTCTGTGCTAGCCACAGCAGGAAACCAGAAGCCTTCTCACTTCCTTGATTGATTCAGCAAAAGTTCATAGGACAGTGATGATAAGCAGACACTGTGCTCAGTGCTGGGTACTGATGGGAGCACGGGCCAGGTGTGGCCCCTGGCCTCATTGAGCTAATGTTCTGGGAACATGCCTAACCATGTAAACATACAAACAGGTATGTATGTCAGAGTCTCCAGGAAGGGGCTTTTGAGATGAAGGTGCTCTAGGCGGAGGTGACATGGAAGACAAAGCTGGAGGAGCTGAAGTAGGCCATGCAAGGGACGGGAGGAACATTCTGGGAACCTCGTATGAGAGGCTCTAAGACGAGAATGCTGAGGATAAGACAACAGGCCAGTGCAGGCTTGGGGGTAGCAGGAACTAGGCTAGGAGTCGGGTTAGGCTTTGCTCTGATCTTTACCATTGGAATAGTGCGGTGTGGGGGGGGGGGGTGGCAGTTTCAGGCTGGGTTGATACGTGCCCTGCACATGCCACATTCTCCCCCGTGGCTGTTGAGAACTGATGCCACAGTCAGAGCAAAGCAAGGCAGCTGGGGCAATAATCTAGGGGAGAGGGCCCAGACCTGGGCCCATGGGTTCAGAGTCTCCAGACATACTCAGGAAGTAGAATATGGTGGAAGTTTCCGAACTAAACGTCTTTATTACTGGTCTGCAACACCCTGCAGTGGGATGAGAGTGTTGGGGCCACCAGAAAGGTTGGAAACAGGGGACCGGAGTTCTCAGCTGGGTGTGGGTGCCACCTGCCCAGTCTCCTGGGAGAACAAACCCAAGACCAGTCAGGATGGATGCCCAAAGGGTCCAGCCACTCCTGCCACATTTCTGTGGTGTCAAGACTGCTCTGCAGTTCAAGTACCTGCAACATGAAATGTGTTTCCCATGGCAAGGCTGTGAGTGGACACTGAATCTCTGGCTAGGAGCCTGCCAAACTGCAGGCCTGCTGTTGGAGGCTAATACCCAGGGCCTTCTACCACCTCCTCTCCCCACTCGCAGGAGCTGGCAGGATGTTCCACCGTCCCTGTATCTGTCTCGCTCGGTGGGCCGGTAACCCACAGGGACACCCTCAGATGGGTCCAATGTGACAGCCATATCAGAGAACTTGCTTTCGCAAGGCATGGTAGCACACACCTTTAATCCCGGCACTCAGGGAGGCAGAGGCAACTTTCATTAGGGAGTGAAGGGAGTCTTTATCTCCTCTTGACCTACTCAGAAGCGCTTGCTGGGTCACTCAGGTGACCTTTGCCTCTGTTCCACCGTTCTGAAATGACCCTTTCACTCCACGGCTTTTGCAAACTTTAATTTTGTGCCCACAGGCTCCTTACTACAGCTATCAAAGGCTGGGGCTGGGGTCCAGGGTGACCTTGAAAGTATTTCCTGATCAGCATGGCCCAAGCATCAGTGAATAACCAGCTCTAAGCCCCCACAGTCTCGGCTTTGCCAGGGATTATCAACCAGTGTGCTTCCAGTGGGCACGTTGGGTGGTCCTCGGGGGCACTGTGGGGAGCAGGTGACCACCAAAGGGGACAGGAAGGTTTCCACACTTTGTCCAGCGCTAGGGCAACCTTAAGTGTTGGTTCAGTCTCTGCTGTCCCACTGGCCATTTATTCCCATCAGAGGCGAGTGGCCTGAGGCGGAGCTGCCCTCTGAGCAGAGCCAGCTGTGTGAAATCTGGGTGAGCAGGCTCTCAGGCCCTGGACCCACTGCGTGACCTTGAAGAGCCCAGCCGCCTCTGATTGTTCCCCCCCCCCTCCAAGTTATTTTTATCCAGCCTGACAGCCCTTGGCTGTGGCAGCAGTCTGGGCTCTGGGAGCCGGATGCGAACCAGGCAGCTCAGATGTCTGGTGCCGAATCCCAAGAGAATGCCTCTTGGGGGTGCCACCATCGGGGGACACAGGTCCTCCACACTGAGAACCCTGTGGGAAGGGCCATAGTCCTGGAGCATGGTGCCTGAGAGGCAGGGAGCTGGGCTCTCCCGCTGCCCTCGGCCCTGGCACTGTGGAAACCTGGTAATAAGGATACCCTGTCACAGAGCTTTGCTGCTGTGGAGAATCATCCTGGCCTGGCTTGCTAAGCCAACAGGTGGTCATGTGGGCGTCTGAAGCTGGGGCGGCCATAGCTGCAGGCCTTAGATGCACTGGAGAACAGATCTGTCCTGTGTTTTCCGCTGTTACGGGGTCCATGACAGAGACATCTCAGTAGCCTCTGCTTCATTTCTGTCTTCAGGAAGTGGAGCAGTACATTTCATCCCGTTGGCCTGGGATGGCCGAATCCCACCAGTCCTCCTGACTGGGAGTCTCACCTCGCTGGAGCAGCCTGCCTCTGGCTAGGGAATCCTTAAAGTTAAGCTTCAACCCCAGACCCAAGGCACATGTGTGTGTACTCGGTTCACAATGTCTAGGGGGGCACAAGGTACCGTGTAACTCATCTGTACCAGTGGGGAATGAGACTAAGGCTTTGAGCTCTGCAGGGGGACCGGGTGGGCAGTAGGGTTGGTGGTGAGGCTGGTAAGTGGGGCTCTGATGGGTGAGGAGGGGTGCCTTTGCATAGAAGCCATTCTAGAAGACAAATTGGAAAAGGCGGCACCATTTTTTAGAGATCCTTCCTCATTCCTAAGGGATGATCTGGGGAGTCAGCTCAGAAAGCCCCGATTTCAGTGATTTCGGACACCCAGGAGTGGTAGAGCACTGCCCCCACTGACCTCCCAGTTGGCCCCAGAGGAGGTGGACTGGAGGTGGAAGCAGACACACTGTCGGCAGGTTTCCCAGCTCCAGGAGCTGCCGGGGAGGAACATGGCAGGATGGGGACCACGTGGTTGCTCCTGGCAGCCCTGACAGCGAGGGCTGTGGCTGGAAGGGCAGCTGGCCTCTCAGGAGGATGTGCCCTCTGGGCAGGAGCTGCCCCTCGGCTGGGCATCAAATTCCGCCGGGCTGGCAGGACGGTGCCAGCAGCTCTGTGCACTGGGGCCGACCTGAGGGCTGAGATGGGGTAAGTGGGAGAGGAGACGTTGGGGAGGACAGGGCCTGGCACTCTTCCCAGAATGGCAAGCTGGCTGCTCAGGGAAGGCAGCCCTGGACAGCTATGGAGGAAGGACCAGGGCCACACAGGGAAGGCCAGGGCACCAGTGGGTGTGGGGGAGGGCTCCATCTCAGCTGCGTAGCTGTTGAGGTGGGAGAGAAGGCGAGTCCGGACAGGGTCGGCATGGCTGCTGGGTCCTTCCAGGACCCCCAGGTACCTGATGACCTCAGTGAGGCATTCCCGAAAACCAATGCTCCGGAAGTCAACAGCCAGGGCTCGGGCATCAAAGAACCCTGTAAAGTAAAGGACCATGAGGGCGTGTCAGAGGGAGAAGCACAGAGCCTGGGGGGCAATACCCCATGTGACCTGTCCCACCTGCATAGCCCACAATGACCCAGTGACTTTGGACTTGTCCCCTCTGAGCCCTAGCCTCCCATTATAAAACATTGGAAACCACACTGCATCCCAAAATGTATTTTCTTCATACTTGATGATTAATTCGAAGAAAACCTTGCGGCCAACATTTCACTAAGCAGACTCCTGGGAAAAGACTGAGAACACAGAAGACATAGGCTAGCCCTGGCTACTGAAAGGAAGCAGGTCTGGGGAGGGGAGGGGATGACAGCAGCCATCAGAGCAGACGGCCATTTGGAGAAGGCACAGTTATGTAGTGGGTGAGTCCCTAGAAGCCACCAGAGCTGGGTTCGAATCCCAGATCCGCCACTTAACCCGGCCACCTGATCATAGGTGAGCATCCCAAAAGCTCGGCTTCCTCAGCCTGAAAATCGGGGAGGAGTAGAACCCGCCCTGGTGAGGGGAGAGGGCGAAACGAAACGGCCCTCGGACATGCTCCACAGATGGAAAGTGAGCTATCACGCACACCATTGGCCCAGCGGCTGCCGCCTCAGGGCTCATCCTCCAGCTCAGAGGACAGTTTGGACTGTGTCGGCCTGTGCAGCTGCCATTAGGCAAGGACTCTCTCTTGGCCTGATGTCACTGATGGGCTGGCCGGGTGGACTGTCCACACAGGCACCTTTGTCTCTACTGCCCCTACATATCTGCCCCTCTCTCAACCACATTCTGGGTAGAGAACTGGCCCCTGACTGTGGCAGCACACATCTCGTCCCTGGTTTGTGGCTGGGGCCCTTCTGAGGGACAGGGCAGCACAGCAGGAGGCTGTCGAGTCCGGGCAGTTTGGGGTGAGGCTTGGCTCTGCTACGTGGTGATGCATCTGTCCCCTCACCTCTCTGTGTTTGCCGTGCTCTTTCATTTTAAACACTTATTTATCTACTTCAAGGCCCCGTCAGACATAGCCCAGGCTGAGCTTCAACTCGCTACGAGGTTTAACTTTGAACTTCTGATCCTCCTGTCTCCACACCCCAAATACTGGCATCGCAGGCCTGTGCCACCAAGCGCTGTTCCCACGGTGCTGGGGATGGAACCCAGGGCTTTGTGGATAGTAGGCAAGCACACTGCCAGCTGAGCTGCATCCTCGGCCCCTTTTAATTAATCAATTAGTCAAGTTTTAGATAATTATTCGTGGAGTCCAGCTGGACTGGAATGAGCCTGAACTCCTGATCCTCCTGTCTCCACTCCCAGAGAGCTGTGAGCTCATGTGCACGTCGCCACGTGTCCTTGTCTTCAGACAAACGTCTGCTGAGTTCTTATTACACGATTCACCGAGGTGCCTAATTTAATCTTTATAAACACTCTTCTACCATCCCCACTTCATAGCTGAAGAGACTCGGAAGCAGGGAGGACAGACCAGTTGTCTTAAGTCACGGAGTTAAGAAGCAGCAGAACCAGGATTTAGATTAAAAGCCTGACCTCTCCATTAGCCTGAGCTAGAGTGGGGGGGGGGGACAGGCCACTCCCTCATCCCCCTCCTTCCTGGTTCTTGTGAGAATGAGGAGAGATAAGTGAACGCATCTTAGATCCTGCCCACATGCTAATCACCACTTTGCTTTTAATAGGATAACCATGGGTATAATTCAAAGCATCTCCCCACTGGGTGCCACTGGAAGGAATGGGTTCCTTCGACAGGCTTTTCAAAAGGAGCTTCCCCCATTAGAGTTACTGGGTGAGTCTGCTAAACTTGCAAATTCCTACAATCCAATCCAGGCTGACTCTTTCCCTGAAATGCTGCCTGCCCCCGGGTGCCAGCAATGTTCTCTTCCAGAGTTGAAAACTGCTCTTGGGATTTACTTTGTAGCTAAGGTATGTGGAGTGTTAAGGCTTCCTAATCCAGAAACCACCTAGAGGGCTTGAGACGATACATCCATTCACCTGGAGGTCTCTTAAAAGACATAGCTGCCCCATGATTCTAACGGAAGGCACTAGTTTAAAATGATGAACTGACTTGTCCCTTCCTGTAACCGGCCACCTGCTGTGAGCCTGCCTTCCAGCACTGCCAAGGATACAGCAGCAGTACAGAAGCTCAGGCAGATGGGCACAGGCACTAACAGGATGTCTGTGGCTGAAAATCTCAGGCGGGTTCCTCCTTGGGTTCAGGTTACCTGAGGATTGGGTTCTAGTGAGAATTTGCTTATCCAAGGTTCCTATGAGCTAAGTTTGGCTGGTGAGACTGCTGGAAGCCTGTTAAACAGAGCAATCCTCTAAGACTGGGAGGAGCTGAACTGAGGAAAGTGTTAGGACAAAGGGAGCCAGAGGAAGTACTGATGGAGATGGTGAAAGAACGACAGTCGGATGGAGTGGCTCATGCCTGCAAAAGTCAGAGGCTGACACAGGACGATTTATGATGTGAGTTGACCTTGGGCTACAGAGCGAGAGACCCTCTCCCCCAAACAAACAGCAGGTGACTTCAGTCTTTCTACAGACGGAGAGCCAGAAGGGCAATGAGCGACCTACTCGGTTCACCAGTCTGAGCTCACCCTTCGATCCCCAGGGCCCAGTGCTGAAGTATTTGCAGTGTGAGTAACTCTCAAGAGAGCAGAACACTGGTACCTGTGCCACCGGAGGCATGGAGCATCTTCAGGTGATCCACAGTCATCTGCAGGACCTCCGCCTTCTCCAGCTTGGAGGAGCCCTGCGGGGAGAAAAGGCAGAGGCTGCAACCTGCCATCCACTGCCCTCCCGCCCCGGTCAGCATCCACCACGTCCATTTCCCTCTCCTCCCAGGCCCTGGCCACCTGGGCTGCTGCTGGTCTGAGCTCTCCACATCTGAAAGCTGCTGGTTTCACATCTCAGTTCACCTGCCTACCGCACTGCTGGGCTGCCATCGGGAACCCCTCCCCAGCTTGACTGCCTTGATCGACACCTCTCCTTCTCTAGCCTCCTTTCACCTTGCCTCTTGGGGGCCTGTCTCCTAAAAGGCTCCCAGTGAACATTGGCCATTCCCTCTCCTCATTCTCTTTGTTCTTCCTGGAAACTCTCATCTGCCTCCATGGCCTCATCCACCATCACCAAACTCCACCTGTCCTATAGACCTACTCTCTGGGGAACCCAACTCAACTTCAGTGTCCCCAAACATGTCACCTAAGCCCCAGGGACATGCCCTTCCTCTGTTCTCTCTTGGGAAATGTTTCCTAAGCCTCCAGGGAACCTTGGCTCCCAGGAGCAGGGTCCAAGTGTCCACGCCAGTCCCTTAAATACAGACACCAAGTCTAGTGCACGGCTGGTTCTGAGAAGGTTTCAATGAGCATCAGTGGAATGGCTGGCTTGTGCTTATTGGCCCAAGGGAAGGCATAGGACATGGCACCTGAGCCGTGAATGTGAGGCAGGGATCTTGGAGGCAGTCTGAGTCAACCGTTTGTCTCTCAACTGTACCCCCCCCCCGCCCATCCTCAATGGCAGGTGCTCACTCTCTGAGTGGCCTGTTTTACTCTCAAAGAGCTCTGGAAATGTCAGTGGACACGTGATGCCATGTGCTCTGCTTCTGCTCAGATGTTTACCGCCTGCGATCTGTCTAACATGGCAGGTTGACATTACATGACATCTCTGTCCTTCACTTTCCTCATGAATAATCCCTGCCTCTCAGGATCGCTTGTAGGGTTTAATCCAAAGGAACACAAGTCAGGTAGAAAGCCGCCATATGTGAGACATCTTGCTAAGTATAACTGTCCATTCCTCTTGTCCCCTGGCCAGTGACAACTGTACATACTTGTGTATGTGAGTGTACATGTGTGTGGCATACACATACCTCGTATGTGTGCATGTGGGGGGGGGTGATGTCATTTCTCTCCTTCCATGTGGGACACAGACTGAGCTCAAGTTATCACTGTTCCCGCTCCTAGAATCTGCCTGTCTCTGCCTCCCAATGCTGGTCTTCCAGGTGCCCACAGCCATGTCCAGCTTTTACATGGCTGCTGTGGATTTGAACTCAGACCTTCAAGTGCTCATACTCTCTGTGCCATCTTCCCATACCCCGGCGGCAGCTATTTATAAACGATCACAGCCGCACAGGCAGTAGGAGGTGCCGTGAGGACCACACCCTGCCTTTTACCCACTTGGTAGAAGTTCTTCTGACACAACCAGCAACGTCACATACCTGTTTCTCAAAGGCAGTGGGGACCAATCGTCGCAATTCAGAAAGGCTGCTGTTGATGCGGTCTCGGCGACGTTTCTCTATGATCTGAAAACAAAACAAAACAAAACAGGAAGTTCTCTGTAGGGGGCTGGAGAGATGGCTCAGCAGTTAAGAGCACTGGCTGCTCCTCCAGTGGACCTAGGTTCAATTCCCAGCACCCACATGGCAGCTCACGAACTGTCTGCAACTCTAGTTCCAGGGAATCTGACACCCTCACACAGACATCCAGGCAAAACACCAATGCACATAAAAAAAAAAAAAAATGTTCCCTGTGGGCATTTCATCACACTTTCTAGTGTGCCCTGATGGACACTGACTCATATTTTCCCTCAAGATAATTTTTTTCTAGGCAGTAAATTTATTCTTTATTTATGGAGGACAGGAATGAGAGTTCAGAGTGACAGGGATTTGATTAATGTCACACGGTAAAAGCTTAGACTTGGGACTAGCACTCAGGCCTCTTGTGCTGGTCTGTAGGGACAATATTCACCCTTGGTAAAGCGGGGTACTGCTCATCAGTATGGGGTCGCCCAGCCTCGGCAGTAGACCTGGGTACCCTGCTGGCCCAGTTACTGGACCATGAGACCACCTGAAGAATTCTGGGTCTCGCTTTCTTCAGCCACGGGGGCCTTCATTCCCACGATCTCTGTCTCCCCCACAATTCTGGCAACAGAATCCTCATAGCCGGGTGGAAATTATAAGCCGTCACTTCTTAGAGACAGAATGGGAAGGTGACAAAAAAAAAAAAAAAAAAAAAAAAAAACCAAAAAAAACAGTTTGCCTAAGTCTTCTGGTGAGTGGGTGAGTGGCGGGCTGGACTCCTAGGAAATGGTGGGGAGGGATGAAATGGAAAGCAGCCAGGAGGGAGCAGCCCCCTACACACCTCCCTGCTCAACACAAGGGTTAGGTTCAGAGAAACAGAGTAGAGGGGAACTACAGCAACAGTTTTAATGGCCTCTTGTCAGGTGCCGCTCGGAGCTTATGGGAACACAGTCTTCAGAGCAGCCCTTTGGTGCCAGGGCATGTAGCTCAGTTGGTATAGGTAATGTGCTTGTCTTTAGCATGCATGAGGCCAGAACTCAGTCCTCAGTACTGCAAACACCAGGTATGGGGGTACATGCCTGTAATCCCAGCATTTGGGAAGCGGAGACAGCAGGATTAGGAGTTCAGGGACATCCTCAGCTACATAGTGAATTTGAAAAACAAACTACAAATTAAATTAGTCTCTCTCTCTTTTTTGAGACCCGGTTTCACTGTGTAGCCTTGGCTGTCCTGGACTCACTTCGTAGACCAGGCTGGCCTCGAACTCACAGAGCTCTGCCTGCCTCTGCCTCCCAGAGTGCTAGGATTACAGGCGTCTTTTGAGGTAGGTGCTGCCTGTCACTGAGGGGAAGAAGCAAGGCATTGGAGGGGAGTTGGCATGCCCAGCCTCCGGGATCACAATTGGCAGAGCTTGGGTTTGAACCTATCCAGTTGCCTGGGATGATGGGCTAGGCCTCCTGGGATTCGGTGCACACCCCGCTCAGGCTCCCCTAAGGCTGTTGCTCACTCACCCCTCTGCGCTTCTTCCGGGCTTGCATCTGCGAAGGGCTGGGGGTGGTCAGCGGCCCGGCCATCTGGCTGCAGAGGAAGAGAAAGGCTATTTTCTTAGAGCTGAGGGATCATCTCCCTGGCCTAGGCTGACCTGGGAGGCCCAGCTGGCAGCAGGCCAGGGTGAGGGCGTATGGTGGGCGGGGCTCCTAGGTGGCCACATTCTCCCAGGCCAGGAAGGGGCACAGAGCATGCATGAGAGGGGTCTCCTGCTCCCCCTTTCTCCCTGGAGACCCATTTGTTTCTCCAGGGTCAAGTCCCCCGTGCTCTCCTAGCTTCCTGTTGGCCTCTGGTGGCCGTGGGTGGCTCGCCTAGCCCCTGTCCCTGTGGGCAGCCGGCCGTCGGGGGAACCACGAACCGAGATGCTCCCTCTCGGGTCCTGCAACCTGATCCCGGGGGCGGGCTGACTGAGGGCGCGGGCCAGCGGCGGCCGGCCCGAGCCGGGAGGGTTGAATTTCAGAGCTAGCCGCTGGGAAGGAGCGTGGAAAGCGCAGATGCCGCCGCTTCCCACGGGCCGGAGCGCCGCCGCCCGCCCTCCGCCCGGCCCGCAGCTGCCGCCTCCTCCCACGCGGCGCGGCCGGGGGCGAGGCGGAGGCGGCATCTGGGTCACAGGCTCCTCTCGCACGCTCGCTCGGGGACATTGCTCTGGCCTCCCAGAAGGCACGGGTCCCGGTATCCTCGCCCTCCCTCCCATGTCCGCGCCTTCCTCTGCAGCCCAGGCTGCGGGATGGATGTTTGCTCCAAACCGATAGTTACAGGGTTTTCCTGCCCAGATTTTGACCAGAATGATTACCCTGACTGCCTTTCCTCGGGAGGGCTCTTCACTCCAGCTGCCCGCTCAGAAGGCGGAGAGTGGTTCACTGGAGAGCATCTAGAAGCCAACCCTATGGGCAACCTTGGGCAATGTGCCTCCCCCGCCATTTTGGAATGCCAACAAACATCCCCACAGGAGCCCATGAGCTTGCCCAACACTTGCTCCTTGTCTACCTAGGTTCTCCATCCCAGCAAAGGCTACCCCCGGCTCCTGCTTCTCTGGCACTTTCTTTGATTCCTCCCTTGTCTTCACCCTACTTGGTCAAAACCTGCCTGTTCCATGTCTAGATAGTTTCATGTCTGGTTTCTTGATCGCCACGGTCCTCTTTGTCTCTCACCCTCAGGCTCACTCCCTTGGGTCCCTCTGCAGCCCCTTTTACTGCCACTGCCAGCAGAGTGACCGTTTAAATGCAGACTTGGTCTTGTTCATCGTAAATCTCCTCTGTGGCTTCTCAATGATTTTAAGATCCATCCTTTGGTTGGGCCAACTGGTCCCTGTCACCTCTTGGATTCGATCAGCTCTTGCTCTGCATGCTCCAGTCTGTGAATGCACCAACTCTGCTACCTCTGCCCATGAGATCCGTGATCTAGCAGTCTCTGGTCCAGCCCATCCCCTCACCTCCTCACCGTAAGCCTATCAACTTCAACCATCCTTCAGATCGCCACTCAAATGTCACCTCCTTTAGGATCTCCTCTTTAACCCCCCCGTCCCCCTCCTTTTTTTTTTTTTTTTTTTTTTTTTACAGTTACTAGTCTGTTAGATGTTCCCATTCGGTTTACTTTCTGAGACGCTTGCTCCACGGCATTTATGCTGGCTTATTGTTTTATTCTTGCATGGTTTTTTGTTTAACGTCCATCTCTCCAACAGACGGGTCCACGAAGTTACAAAGCTCATGCTTTCACTCACTGTTGTAGCTTAGGTCCTCAACAAGCTTGGGACATGGCAGATGTCAAAGCAGGACTCCCACCCTTATCTTTAGTGTCACCACTGAAATCTGCCTTCTGGGCCTCTGTGGAATGGGGACAATATGCAGCAGGGTCTCAGCCTATGTGACAATCTTTGCAGCATCTGAGGTTGGGCCATTTTCTTTCTTTTCTCAGTTTTTTGAGAAAGGGTTTTCTCTGTGTAGCCTTGGCTGTCCTGGACTTGCTTTGTTGACTAGACTGGCCCCAAACTCACAGAGATCCGCATGCCTCTGTCTCCCAGAGTGCTGGGATTACAGGCCGTGTGCCACCTGCTGAGGTTGGGTCATTTTCATCCACACCTCACAGAGAGGTAGCTTCAGGAGAGAGCAGATAGCACCTGCCCTCAGGCTTGTTCTGGGCACATCTGGAAAAAGGTATCTCTCACCCCTCACATCTGGACAAACTGAGCTTCTAAGAGGCCTGGGAAAGCTCCTGGGAGGCAGGGCCCTATGAGCCAGGGCCTGAGATCTGTAGGGCAGCATGTTTACAAAGCTTCCCTGGTTGACTGGGGACAAGCTCTCAGAGCCAAGGTACATAAGAAACACAGCCTTTGTCTCCCTGGCAGGATAAAGCATCTCTCTGGGTATTGGGTTAGCCTTGCGCACGTCACTGCCTCTCAGTCTGATCCCTCCTCGGGGACCGTCTGTCAGAGGCTGACACAGCAACAGCCAGCTACAGGGCCAAGTGAACTCTTCCACCTTTCCCAGTCTCCTGGTCAATCCCCCGCAATCACATGACCGGCCCCTGCCTCAGAATTTCCCAGGCAAATCTCACCTTACAGTTTGCTTGGCACCACCGCCAAGTATCTCTCTCCTCTGGGTTTTCCAAAAGTCCATTTTCCAGAAGAGGATGCTCCAAAGGGGCTTGCCCATCCCACACAGCTGCTCAAGAGCAAAGCAGCTTGGGAACTTATCTTCTGGCTCTCAATTCAGCATTGTTTTCCTTCTTAAATCTGACTTCCTGTCTGCCTGGTTAGTCCTCCAATCCCCTTATCCTGAAGGCTCCCAGCCAGAGCTCACCACAGCCTGGGATCTGGCCCTGACAGGAGGAGGAGGGCTGGGAACCTCTCTCTCTGAGAGTCTAGGCAGATCTTCATGGACGCAGAGAGGAGACGATGATTGCCGGGATCCCCATGGCTCTCCTGCAGCCCCTCCGTGGCATTCCAGGGCCGACTCTTCAGGGGGTGTAGCTTTCTAAGTGGTCTGCCCGCCAGCCCTGAACACCCCCGGTCCCAACTTTACCTGTGAACTCCCCTGTGTGGGACCCTTGGAAGTGACTCCACTCATTTTGTATCAAGCAAAGGCGGCATCCCACTACTCTAAAGGATGGACAGTCACACAGAACTAAGGCCTTAGGTTATAGGCAGTCGTGAGCTGCCACAGGGGTGCTGAGAGTCAAGCCTGGAAGAGTCAGCCTATGCTCTTGACCACTGAGCCATCTCACCAGCACCACATCTAACTGGCTTTTAGTTCACTGCTCTTGCCAATGTACCTCAAACATGCATCACCCATGTCTCTCTTGTGGCCCATACTTTCTGTTCTAGACAACAACACACTTCCATTTGTCTCATACATTTCACAATAGACCTTAGGAAAAACAATCATTTTTAGGGGGAGGGCTGTGACAGGGAGATACAGAGCTGAGAATCAAGCCCAGGAACGCAGTCTTTAGATTTCTCGCTTTCCCATTGAACCTTGCCACCTTGTGAATTTGGCACCCTCCCCACAGTGTGACAACATTTATTAGAAGTTACCTGGTGCCAAAGCAAGGAGGTATGTTCTCTACTTAAATAGAGCCTCGCCCCCGGAGGCAGATATTTGCACACTCATTTTGCAAAAGAAAGGAAACTTCAGTTCAGGAAAGAGCAATGTTACTTCCATAAGGGAATGGTGGGAAGGGTCAAACTCAGTCTCTCTGACTGTGAAGACTACCCGGTGCCTTGACTCTTAAAGGACCAGCGCGCAGGCCCAGACTCCCAGGTTGACATGTAGGAGCTGCTCATGAAATAGCTGAAGATGGGTAAGAGGGAGGCTAGGTTCTGCGTGGATCCATACTGTCTCAGGGGGCCAACTTCACACAAGAGCCCTGTGGGTGATTCCCACGGATGGGGCGGGATGCTGCTATCACCAGGCAGATGTCCTTGGTGACATCAGAACACCATGCCCCTTTGGTCTCACGGCTGTGAGCGTGAGGGCTTGTGTACTACTTCTGACCCCCACAGTGTGGCTGCCCCAGCCTCGTGGCCCCTGCCACTGTTTATCTGTCTTCCTTTGTACATGAAGCTCTTCTTCCCTGAGAGCTCCCTGAGGGCAGAGGCTAAGCAGGATACATCTGGGCTCTGGTGCCCAGCCCAGGGTCTAGGCCACAGCAGGCATCGTTCAGTGGTCTCTGAATCAAAGCATTTATGTCTGTTGAGGGGGAGGGCCCTTTGCAAAGGGCTACAAAGAGGCATCTATAAGTCAGTCTGCCAGATGTCCAGCTTCCTTCCCTCCTTGGAGGGGTCTGGTCTTCTAGAACAGTCTCTAACAATGGGGGGGGGACCTGCAGTGACCCTTTATACCTTAGCCCCACTGCTGCCAGGGAACCCTTCTCATCACCCCTGGCTGTGACTGGCCTTTCCCACTTGGGGCCCTCAAAGCCCACACTCTGATTCTTTTTCCATCCTGTCCAGAATCTTTGTATCCCTTGGCTGTAAGCTCATGAAGGATGGAAGGCCGTCTGATTCACCTCAGCTCTCTGGCATCGACTTTTTTGTGTGTTTGTTTCTTTGTTTTTGAGATGGGGTTTCTCTGTGTAGCCTTGGCTGTCCTGGACTTGCTTTGTAGACCAGTCTGGCCTCAAACTCACAGAGATCCGCCTGCTTCTGCCTCTCTGAGTGCTGGGATTGCAGGCATGTGCCAACACACCCGGCTCTGGCATCAGCTTTGTACTCTGGCCCTTGAAGACCCGAAGACACTGAGTTTGAGATCCTGTTCTCCATCACCATATGGTGCTAGGCCCCTCCCTTATGAGCAGGCACAGGCTTTGAGAATTAGTTCTCTAAACAACAGTTTTTGCTAAGTAATTTTTAAAGGCTTTACATAAGGAACTGTATTGTACATTCCCACATTGAAGATGCAAGATTTGAAAGAGGGTTATCTATTGCCATTAGCCTCATTGCCATTTTTTTTTTTTTTTACATAGAGTTACACGATGTCAAGAACTAGCCCTAGCTGCTCATAGAGATCTGCCTGCCTATGCCCCTTAAGTGCTAGGATTAAAGACATGTGTCCTCAAGCCTGGCCATAGCCTCTTTAAAAAGAAAAAGAATTTAGCTGTGGGTGGTGGCATACACCTTTAATCCCAGAACTCGGGAGGCGGAGGCGAGTGGATCTCTAACTTCGAGGTCAGCCTGGTCTACAAAGCAAGATCCAGGACAGCCAGGGCTACACAGAGAAACCCTTTGAAAAACAAAAACAAAAACAAAAAACTATTATTCTATGTGTGTGTGTATGTGCCAGGGCGTGCACATGGCGGTCAGAGACAAGGTTAGAAGACCAAGAGAGATGAGCTACTTCGGTAGCCCTTTCTTTTCTTTCTACTCTCATCCTTTTTCCTGTGGGGAAACCAAAGGCTCAAAACTGCACGGTGATAGGGTACTTGGCCATCGTGCACCAGGCTCTAGACCCAATCCCCAGCACTGAATAAAGGGAAAGGCAGAGGAAAGGAAAGAAGAAAGGGAAGGAAAGGAAGAGCTATAGAGTGAGTTGGTGGCAGATGTAGGCTTGCTGGGTGAGAAGGGCCTGAAGACTCTTTCAGAGTGTGGGCCTGGCACTGAGCATTCGCTGTGAGCTACTGCTAAGCCCGTGACCATTCTTCCGCTTGACTGTTACCGACAATATGAAGCTGCCTCTATTATTTATACCCATTTTACAGGTCAGAAAACCGAAGCTGATGGAGTCACAGGGCTGAGAAGTAGCAAGAACTGTGCAAGTTCAGTTTGTTCCACAGGTTAGAAGTCAGCACAACCCTGGCCACTTGAGTGGTTTGGTTGAAAGGGCACTGAGGATTGGAGTCCTCAGCTCTTGCAAGTTGGCTGTTATTTTCTTCAGTACCTTAACCCAAATTCCAGCGTTCAGTGTGCTCAAAGAGAAAAAGACACCGCCGGTCCTTTCGTGTACTGTGTGAAAACTGCTCCTAAAGAAGGGTAAAATCTGGGAACCGCAGGTGTCTTCTTAGTAGACAGATTATGGCCAATGGAATGAGGTACCTAAGGTCTGCAGGGAAACTTCCCAGGGGGCCTCCCTGGGGGTAGCCAAATGGTATAATAGCCCCTAGCTGAACTGTCCTTCCACCCCAGCGTCCTGAACCCTCACTGGTTCAGGGTACCCAGGAATCCGCTGCACTGATGCTACGGACACACTGGAGACGCTGCACACGCCCCCACACCCTGGCTGACACCTGCGGGCTGCGGTGCACACGCCTAAGTGTGCTGGACTCTATCACCCCGCGACGGCCTCAGCCCCACCCTGTTTTACCTGAGATCGTTCTCCCGACCCACGTCGATGGGTCCGTCAGACTCTCCGTCGGAGCCACTGGGCGCCCTGGGCCGCTTCATGGCGTGAGCTGGCTGCGGGGTCTCAGCCCTGCGGACCGTGGAGTTGGTCGCTGGGCCCCGCCTCGGCCCCGCCCCGGACCGTGAGCCGACACCGCCCTTTCCCAGGGCCCTTCTCTACACCGCAGCCTGGAGCGCCCCGGCGCCCCCTCGCCCCCGCGGTGACGCGCCACCGAACCGTGGGAAGGCCCCGGGCGGTCACCGCCCCCATCGGCCACTGGGAGGTCCGGCTCCGCTCCACCGGCGCTGCCTGGGCTGGCGCGCTGGGTGGCCTTGGGCAGGTGCCCTGGGAGGCCCCACGGGGAAGCCCAGACTTCGGATCTGTCCCTAGACTTCGCTCTGTGGCACCTCAGCTTTTTTCGTAAGGGACAGACAGACCTGCATCTTCCTGCTCCAGGTGATCCAGGGCGGATAAAGAAGGTTGGAAAGGTTACTGGGAGTGCCAGTGACCTCTTGGACAGAAATTCCTCAGCCATTCCTTCCATAGAGGACCAAAGTAGGGGCACAGATGTTCAGAACTTCAAAGGTCTGTGGTGAACCCCCAAAGGGATGGCTGCTGCCGACCAGCTGAAAAGGCTGGACTCAGGCAAAGGCCGTTTTGAGAGGAGGATCGGAGACAGGGCCTAAATAGAGCCCAAACTGGCGTTGAACTTGCTGTGTAGCAGAAGATGATCTTGAACTACCATCTCCACATCCCAAGTGCTGGCATTACAGTGGTCAAGATCTTTGAGGGACTGCGTTGTAGGAGGGAGCACAGAAAGACAGAAGGTAGCCAGGGTGCGGTGGTTGGTGGGGTGTCTCTGGGAGTCAGTTCCCAGTTCACTTAATGACAGAGCTCTCCTGGCAGGCGTCAGGGAGAATCAGAGGGAAGGAGCCTTCGGCTTCTCTTTCTGGGGGAGCCTGTCTGACAACAGAAAAAACTATTTAGGTAGCGAAGAGTTCCTGTCCTTATCCTTGTCCCTAGAGATTCGGCTGCCGTCCTCCTAGGTCACAGTCTTAGAGAAGACCCCAGTGTGCAGAGGGAACCTGAAGGCAAATCCCGCCCAGGCGAACTTCTTGCTGGACAGGATGGAGATGGTAGAGGTTGGTGTGAGGGGCAGGGCATCAGAGAAGCCCTTTCCCTTTGTCCTGCTCACTGGGATAGGCACAGAAGAGAGCAAAGTGGGGCTGCTCGGCCGAAGCTGTCTGCACTTTCACTGCGTGATGCCTTCTGCTGGCAGACACCTGCCGGTGGGAAAGAACAGGCTTCTTGACACACACATGCACACGCGACCTCTTGGTCAAGTTCAGAAACTCATGCACATAGCCAGATGAACAGATACACCTGGCGTGTACGGCCAGTATCAGGAAAACCTGCCGGCTGCCTCAGCCGCAGGCACCAACTCTCCTGTTCCAAATGCCCTCAGTACTCACATAACTTCTGTGGGCAGTTCGAACCTCAGCCAGTACAGACGTTGCCCAATGCATGCACTATACATTTCTTGGAAAGGCAGATATTGCTCCATGTAATTGGCCGAGAGACAAGGACTGGGGGATTTGCAGCGGTGGTGAAGGCTCTGTGGTGGGTGAGTGCACGAGAGATGTTCCAGGCCCTCCAACTTTACTCCACAGTTATCTAGGGAGTATGGGGTTCAGAAAAAAAAAAAAGATGTTTGGAAGTCATTAGCTAATAGATGGCTTTGAACGCTATGGGAGAGGACAAATGGATCAAACAGTGGGGTCTGGTACTTCTCATGGAACCGGGAAAGGTCCCAAGTCGGTGGTTCTCACCCTTCCTAATGCCGCAACCCTTGAACACAGTGTCTCCTGTTGGGGTGACCGCCAATCATGAAGTTATTGTTGTTGCTACTTCAGAACTATAATTTTGCCACTGTTATGAATCATAATGCAAATATCTGTGTTTTCCAGTGGTCTTAGGCAACTCCCGTGAAAGGGTCTTAGGGTTTCAACTCGGGTTCTCAGGTTTGATGGCAAATAGCTTTACTTGCTGAGCCATCTCTCCAGACCACAACTAATTTTTTTTAAGTTAAAAAAAATATATTTTTAAAAAAAATTCAACTATTTTCTTTCACTCTCTCCTCTCTCCTCCTCCTCACCCTGTTCTTTTGTCCTATTTGTTATATCAGTTTGCAGCCCAGGCTGTTGTTGAACTCAAGAGCCTCTTTGGCATTTGAGAGTCAAGATTACAGGTGTGAGCCATTATACCTGGCTTTTTTCTCCCCACATGGTGGCTACCAGGCCATCTTTAGTTGTAATGCAGCTCCCATGATGCCCTTACTGGCTAGCGCTAACGCAGCATGGACCTCCTCAACCTTCTTACTACTAACATTTGGGGCTTGGGTAGCTGCTGCATGTGGCCTACAGAATGTTAAGCACTAACCAGTCCCCTCGGGGTGTATTTTCCAGAAGATCTGCAGTTAATACCAAATGGGAGAAATTGCCCCCTGATGAGATATACTGATCACAGAAACTCCATACAAGTACAACCTGCAGGCCGTGGGCTCTTGGCACCCGACACAAAATGGAAAACTTACTTAAAACATTGGATTTCTTTGTGTGTTTGTTTATTCATTTTTTTGTTTTTGTTTGTTTTTCGAGACAGGGTTTCTCTGTGTAGCCCTGGCTGTCCTGGACTGAGTTTGTAGACAAACCCACAGTGGTTCAGCTGCCTCTGCTTCCTGCTGGGATTAAAGGCATGCGCCCCCACCGCTGGCTCTTTTGTGTGTTTAAACAACAACAACAACTCAATTGCACGGTTCTTGAGTATGAACTTTGCAGAACTTTGTGCCATGTGGCAAGGTAAAAGGCTGGAGAAAAGTCACCGGAACAGATGCAAGTAGGTAGCCTGGGAAGGGGAGGACATCAGGCTAGGAAAACCAAGAATGCACGGCGGGAGCCAGGACTTCGCTGTAACCCTTTACATTGTCATCAGAGCATGTCACCTCCTGCTCAGTATCACCCACAGGCTTCTCATCACGACTTAAACCAAATGCTAGCTGCTCCCCAGGTTTCTACATGGGGTAAGTGTGTAACTGATCACCTAACCCTCAGCATCTTTAAGATGAAAGGGAGGCAATTCTAGTACTTATTCCCAAATGGTCCAGGGTGTACTAGAAGCATGGCCACCTAGTCAGCGCTTGTCCCCCTCCCCACTATCTCTCTAGCTTCATTTCCAGCCTCTTTCTATCTCGCCTCTTCAGCCTTCTGGCCTTCCTGCCTCCTTCCCCATGCTGTTCCATGCTTGTCCCTGATGCTGAGCCTTGACTTTTCTTCCCGGAATCTCTCCTTGTGTCAGATCCTCTCAGATCTCACTCCATCCAGTTCTTTGTTGACACATCCCCAGAGAGGACTCCTCTGACTGCCTCAAAGTAGCCACCAGCCCCCCTCAGCCTATGCCTCCTACCTCTCCATATCCTTTCCCACAGCCTCCATCAATATAATTTATATTGTATTATATATGTCTATTAATTAAATGTCCATGTCTCATAAGGAGGTAAACTGATTAACACCAGAGACATGTGTCTTGGGTCTAGTACTGAATGTCCAGCACCTGGAGCCATATTTGGGCAGATAACAGGTATACAATAAGCACATGCTATCAGAACACTAAGTCTGAGAAGCATGACTGGGACGGTACACCGAGCAAGGGAAGAGAAGGGTGGAGCCTAGCTAGGGTCTGTTTGTCTTTGCTTTGCTCTAAGATGGGTAGGTATAAAAAGGCAGGGGGCGGGGAAGGAGCTTCCAAGCTGGGCATGGTGGATGTCTATGAGTTCGAGGCCAGCCTAGTCTACATAGCAAGTTTCAGGCCAATCAGGGCCAGAGCATAGTGACAAGGGAAGTGGGGAGAACAGCAGTCCTTTCCCTGTCTCCCTCCTCTTAGAGCGAGGCTGCTTGACACTCCAAGAGCCCCAAGATGTATCCCTCTGCTTGCATCTGAGCATTTCACCATCAGCCAACAGATGGCTCCTACAGAGGTGTAAGGCTGGGTCCCCTGGAGTGTCAGGCAGCCTCAGTCTAAGAGGAGGGAGACTGGGAAAGCACTGTCCCCCCCCTTCTGTTATCACTGTACTTTGGCCCTGAGCAACTAGGAGATATTCAGGGACAGGTTTCAGCCCTGATAGTACTTTCTGCATCCCCAAGACCACACTGGCTCAGTCCCATCTTCAGATCGCCAAACAGCTGTGTCCTGGGCTCCGAGTAATTAGCCTCCAAGTGTGCCATCCGTAGACCAGCTTTCCAGAGCCCTCTGCTGGGCTGACCATGGAGCCTGTCCTGCTGTGGAGGAAACGGATCTCAGGGCGGGCTGTGAGAGATGCTCCGGCAGCATCTGGTAAGTTAAGAACTGTGCGATAATTTACGTCTGTCTTGGGGACAGCTTTGGAATCCCCGTAAAAGCAAGAACTGTGTCAGGCTTGTCACTGTTAACTCCCACCGTCTGGCAGAGTTTGACACATAGTAGGTGTCTGGTACTGGCTTGGCTGAATGTCTAGCGATAAGACAGAAGTGGGAGGTCCTGAAGCTCTCCACCTTTTCTGTGGAGGAGGCAGTGCTGGGATCACTGCGAAGACAGCATGACCACAACCAGGACTGTCCCTTGTCGGGAGCATCTTAGGGCCACGTGGTCTCTCTGCAGCGCCTTGCTGCTCCCTTTGTGGGCTGAGGCCCTGAGATCCACAGAGAGGCAGGTATACTCCCCAGGGCACACAGCGAACCTTTATTTTCACGCCTATACAGTGGGCTAATGCTGAAGCTCTTACTGCTGCTGGCTTGGGAGGATGAAATGAGTGAGACACAGCACAGTGCCCGGGGGACGAAGGGTGCACCTTCTGGCCAGCCTTTGCCTGTCTGTCTTCTCCCTAGGCGATTCGTTGACACCCGCGGCTTCACCTCCTGCAAGCCAGTCATTCCCAAATTTGTGTCTCTTGTGAGGCCTAAGAGGCAGGCCCATGATTCTCACTGGGTAATCTTTCTCTTCGTACTCATGCCAAGTGCCAGTTAGGGCATTCTGGGGCTGCCCTGACCTCTCCAAGCTCTCGGTGCCAAGGCCCAGATGTCAGGTTCCTAGTGGCTGCTTTTCTGCTCTGCGCTCCAGCCTGAGAACACGATGA